AGTTTAAATATGAAAACAACAAACCTAAGGTGATGGATGTGGTTCTGAATTGTACTTCTTATTTGCAAAAGATAACAAAATTTCAAAATTTTCCCAATATTTTCTTGAATTGGGGCCCAGTGTGCAGAAGCTGAAATTGCCTACTTTAGTTCTCTGGAACCCACCTCCTGTAGGGTGGGTGAAAGCCAATACAGATGGAAGCTTTTGTAAGGAGGCTGCTGGTGTGGGAGGAATATTTAGGAACTCTTTAGGGAAGTGCATGTTATACTTTTCCTCTCCAACTTGGGCAATTGATGCACTAGAAACTGAAATGATTGCTATTTATTTGGCTATCCACCTTGCCAAGCAATGCAACATCATTAAATTGATAGTTGAGTAAGATTCTCTCAACTGTATTAAATTACTGAATCAGGAAGAAGCTGCTTCATGGAATTTTGCTAGGTGGACTACCAAGATCAAGAGCATATTGATCAATGTTGAAGTGATTTTTCAGCATATCTTAAGGGAAGGGAACACTCCTGCACATAGTTTGGCAGCTAGGGGGAAGGAAAATGAAGAGATTGTTGTAGGGACTATACCTTCCACTCATCTTGAAATTCTTCTTCATGGGGATAGTTTATCCATTCCTTATATTAATTGTAGGGGTTGATTTTTTACATTCACACTAGGTTAGCTTTTGTGTCAATCATAGATATTTCCCACAATTTTGTATACTTCTTTGTATGATCTAAGTTAGATAGATGGTAAGGGTGTGGGTTGAGTGATCTTCTTGCCACTCCTAATATGATCAGAGGCTATTATATGAGTCTCGAGCCACTCCTAATATGCCTAACAATTTGAGTACGACCTCCTTAAGGCAAAATGTGCCTGAGGGGGTTTAATCTTATACCAAGGATGCCAACCAACAATCAGGGGGTTCGCGACAAATATATATGATGCATCATTGATCTTGATTTTATATGACAATACAATGTATGCAGTTATAATCCTAATTTTTCCTTTCTTATATTTCTTACTTTGCAATGATTGCCAAAAACTTGACTTCGAAGCAAATAAGAATTTATTTATTAAATTTAAATATGGGATACCATGCAAGTATACGTATTGTTATCAAGTAATATAGAATTTTTTGATTAAGCCCCAAATATCAAACTCACAGGGAAAAAAATGCAATATGCAACTACAATCAGAAGAAATTAGAAAAAAAAATTTACTTTGCAAAATAATTCTTACTCAAACTATAGATGTTGTAATAAGAATGAAAGTTAAACTCTTTTTGTAATTTTTGATAACTGAAAGTAAAGTAAACAACTAACTAAACTTAACTAGATATTTGTAAAATGAAGACAATATTAAAAAAAAATTTTTTTTCTTATCATGAATCATTAACAAGTATAGAAATTTTGTTGTGGAACAAATCAAATTGTGTTGTGCCAAATAAGAGCAGTAGTATTCTTTACCCTTACTAGAGATGCTATAAAGAACATTGGATAATTTAAAGTTTGAATAGTCTTGAAGATGGGCTAGATATGGGCTAAGATGGGCTAGATAGGGAATATACTAGCTCTCACTTTAGAGTTCTCTCTTCTCACTCCACCTAGGGGCTAATATCTCGTATCAAAACCTAAAACTATAAACCAAATTAGGGGCTTTAGCCTGTCACTCTAAAGTACTCTAATTCTAAACCCTTCAAATTTTATTTCTCTATTTCTTTGCACTCAATCATATGAATTATATTTTCATCCATAAAATCTCATGTGATTCATCTCGGATCTTACATGTTCCCACAACAAATATTAACTTCTTAATTGGCCAAATCAAGAAGTAAATGAAGTACAAGGTTTAAAATCATCACAACTTATTCCAACAGTAAAGATTAAAACTTCACACAACTTCCATCCAATACTTAATCACTTGTCATTTTAAGGAAAAAATAGAAAAAACTACTCATAATTTACAGAGAAAACACAACCACACTTATGTTTGAAAGTAGAAATCATGTAAACAAATAAGATGTCTAAAATAAAACACAGCCAAAGATTGAATGTTGTGAATAAAACTTCACATTAGCACTTGTAATGGGCACTTGTGATGGGCTTTAGAGGCTGCAGTATCTCCCAGCTATTAAATCTAAAAATTCAGCTATCCAATCTAACACCTACCTGCTAACATATGAATTTGATTAAGGATGTGAATCCCAAACTTGTAGTAGTGGAAGTGGTAGCAGAACTGATGATATTCTGATAAATAAGAGATCCAATGTTAATTGGCTTGAATTGCTGAATGCAATAGTTCAAGGTAGCTCTATCTCAAATAACTTTGTTGAGGTGGTTGGTTGGTAGTTGACGAACAAAAATAAAGTAGTGCCAAGCTTTCTATGTAGCACCTAACTTTGACGTGGGAAAGTTAACTCTTCTTTAATTTGTGGCCTTCCACAATTCTCTTACACCAGTTAATGGCAATATGATCTCGTCCAACTCCTTCTCAGTTGAACTATAACTCAAATAAAAACACAGCGTACTAGGGGACAAATGGTAAAAAAAATTTATTACCTCACAGGAGAAAGGAACTAATTTTCATCGAACCATGACCCGATCTTCTTCAGCTTTAGGAAGATTAGTGTAAAACTCTTGAACAACAGAAATCATAGCTACAACAAAAAAACAACAAAATCATTCCCATTGTCGGCAAACAATCAAATCTTCCACTGCTCCACTTGGATTTTTAATACATCTCTCAGGAATAAGTTTTTTTGACTGTAATGCATCACTACAACTATTCTGAGCTTTCGTGCTAACAAAATTGCTTGAATCAAAATGGGACTTCCATTTACTCCTATTCATCCTTGGGGCCAATTCTAAAAATCATATAAAATTCACAATAAATCCTCAATCAAAGACTAAATAAAAAAATCAACTTCTAAAAGCTTTAACTATCTTTTCTATGCATTTTCCATAGGTTTTCCTCAAACTTTCACCATGAATAGTGATTTTTGGTCAAATCCACAATATGCTCAAAATAGATGGTCAAGATAAAAAAATTTT